ATATTGAAGGACAACTCTCACCGAAAGTGCGAACTTCAACGCGATAGCCAAACCGAAGGAAGCAGCTGTTTCAGGCAGGATAGTACTGAAGCCGAAACGTGAGTACTATCAGCCCTCTGTAAGACAGCATGCTATGACTATTCGTATCTAGCCAGTGATTAAGAATTCGGAATGATGAGACCATTAAAAAGGAGGAACTACATATTTATAATTCGTAAGGCATTTTCAGCACAACTAGCATAGCTTTGATGTTGAATCCGGTATGGTTAGCATTACAAATTGCAAAATCGCATTACCGTTTTAGGGGTCGCATACCTGCTTCTTTTATATTGTCTGTTTTCATTCAGCTTTACTCCTTCGCCGGAAGTTCTACTTTTCTGAAATATCCCTCAGTCGAATATGGATGTGGTATTTAATGGAGCACTGGTTAGCTACTGGTCGAATGCAATTGGAAGACGAAGCGAAATTTAAGGTGTTCACATAACCCTGTGCAAAAGCTTTCCCATTAAACACTTGAACGGCACAGATCTGAGTGCTATGTTGTAAATCAACTACTAAAGTATCAAAGGAATTAATAACTTCCGGGCATTCTACAGTGCGAAACGACACCATCTTTGTTCGTGTTGGTGAAAATGCCGCACTTTAAATTAGTTTGTCTGAGCGAAAAAGCATTTTAAGTTGTTTGTAACACCTAAAGAAAGAAGCGTGGTAGGCCTGCAGTTGTGTGGTCACTGCTCTTCACCACTTCCTATGAATGCAAGCCACTGTGAACACTCACCGTATGTCTCCTGTCCTTAGTAAAGTCCTGAATCCCATCATTTACGATTTCAGAGATACCAAAACCACCTAACCTTGGTAGATGACTTGTCAAAAGCCTTGGTAAAACCTAAAAATACAGACTGCAATAGTGGCACAACCCTCATCTGTGCAACATTCCTGTGCAATAGAATTTTGATCAAGCAGGAATATTCTACCTTAAAACTGTCATGCTGCCTGATCAAAAGTTTACTAGTACTGGCATGCTGATGTAAGTGTGCAACTTGAGCACTGTGGTAGAATGTAATTCTATATTAGATAACTTTATTTCAAATGTCACACAATGATGCAATGTTAATAACCATTGGATCTTTAAGCCGACAAAGCTTATCTCCGAAAGCGTCGGCTGGTTGCTATAAATGCCACTGATTGACAATCCTACGTAAGAGGCTCACCTTGGACGTAGCTGTTAATATATATCAATAAAGTCCAGCGGAACTACTGGGTTTTACTGGGGTCAGGCTTCAGGAGCAATTTTAATACATTTCCCTTCTCAACGTGTTGATACCCTATTCTTAGATAGACCAATGGAAATTCTGTTACGGCGCGTACAGCCTCTGTAGCAGACAGAACGTGCCACATATAATGGCGCTGTGATGGAGTGACGCAGACAATATGTGCCAACAGAATATCATTCTCACATATTCCCACAGTCTAATTCGGCATTGGCAAAAGAATACTGCGTACACTTGAACATTCTATTTCATGTCGTTTGATGTAAACCAAAATCACACGCTCAGGGATTGATTAAAGAATATTAACCATATATGTATATATATATCTATTAAGGAATAGTTGGCTGGGTTGACCAGGAAGGGAATTTCGTTAGATTATCACCATATAAATTTGTGAGGCCGTAACTGACTGGAAGGGTGGGGTGTGGTTTCACTTTTCCAAAGGTCTTCTCTTCACACGCGCCAGAAGTCTTTTGAGTTATTAACTATCTGTGAAATATATGCCTTCCTGGATTGGTAATTCAAGTCTAAGGCTGATTTCTGCCCCTGCAGTATTTTGGGCGGAAATGTTTCTACTCGCTAGAGGTAGGAAACTTTCATGACCTTACTCTCTGCTAGAGGAAAGCAGTTTGCTGGCTTTTCCGGAAATCTGTGCGGGAAAATTTCAGATGTAGCGTATTTATGGGCTGAAATTATCCCGCATGCTCAAGGTCATTGATGGAGTCAGACGCTCAAAGGTCATTTTCGTCCATGTTAGTCGGTTATGTTGGATTGCAGTTCCGTAGCCGTTCGTTTACACATTGGTTTTATGTTCTGTTGGCATTTATAGGTGATTCCCATGTACTGATAGCATTCTATTGTAAAATAGTACTGTTCTTCACACGAAAATAGCCACATTTTGACGTAGTCTTCATTGAATGACACTATGTCGAAAGCTGCAGCTTCTACAAGAAATAAACTATTTGTGTAGATGACATTACCCCCCAACTACCCCATCTTCTTCATTGTAGAGATGTTTTGACGCATTCAGCATGAAACACTAATCATTACAACCAATATGCTAAGTGTGTCGCAGTCAGATTAAATGACGCGGACACCAACATAACTAGCCAGGAAATGAGAATTCCTATCAATCCAGAAAACATATAACAAAATTTTATTTAAAACTATTGACAAAACAAATTTGCCGAGCGAAATTTCAACCAAAATGCCGGATAAGTCCAGCCTATTTATGTGTTTATTCCGTGCATCATCAATGAACGAGTTGGTATTGACTGTCCAGTTGACAGTCGAAGTACATTTCTTTTTGGCCGCAGTATACTCACGTCAGACGTCGGAGTAAAACCAAGACCAAACCCAGACTTAATTACTATTCCTTATGATAAACGATAACACCCCACATTTATTATTAACTAATGGGGAACGAAGAATTTGCCTATATAGGTTATCTGTGTCACGCCTTAGTAACAGGATTAAAAGGGATAACCTTCAGTTGGGTTGGAGCATTTTTGGCATGAAACATACTAACATAAGGTTTTCGCCATAACAGTCGGGCGTAACCTTTATCAAATATATCAATCAACTCCGCAGAAGAAAGAACTGCTCAGTCTAAATACAGTGCAATAAAGTCCACAAGAATGATGTGGTTGTTGGATCTTTTCAGTTGTCTAATGTGCTCTATTATGAAGTTATCACACTGATTATTTGGACTTCCATGTAGTACTCCGACAAAGCTCATCTCCCAAGTGGCTACTTCGGATGTCTAGCTTTTAGAAGCTTTAGATTTCTAGTGACGGATGAAGAAGGAGGAGTCGATGCAGCGAATCGCTCTACTTCAGTCTTGTGAGAGGAGAATTCAGACGTGACACATTCAGTGGCATTTCATACACAATTTCAGAACTTTCCACACCATTCGCTAGTAGAGTTCAGTCGAAAAACGAACGTGGTTGGTGTGAGTTACTAGTTAGACTCATGGAATAAACAGTTCTTGAAAGGGTCATCTAATTTAACAGATTTTTCCAGGTAAATAGTAATATATGTCAATATGGTATCCATATAAACAAAGAATATTGACTTAGCGCTGAACGTAACTCAACGAGCGTTATTCAGTTTAATGAAAACAAAACACGTAGATCAACGAAGAGTCTCTTTTCGGCGAATTCATCTTCTTAGCTGTACAATCGCAAATATATATGCATTGTTTTGTATGTATGTGTACATTAAGTTTGTCAAACAAAGTTACAATCGGTTAAGGTTAATTTTAACTAAACAAGTGAAGGTTGGTAATACAGGTCAAGAAAATTAAGTGTTAGTGAAACTAGGGTAATAACAAAGGTGGTGAGTTGTCACAAACAGTTGTAATAATAATAGTGAGTTTTACTCAGGATGCACATAGAAACAAAGTAGAAATTATGTAAGAGATCTAAGTGGATACAAGAATTACAATTGCTTAAGGTTATTTTAACTAAACAGGTTGGTAATATAAGTCAAGACAATTAAGTGCTAGGATAGTAACAAACAGTTGTTAAAAGAAGTTATGCAATAATAATATGAATATTTTGATGAGTGAGTTTTACTCAGGATGCACATAGAAACAAAGTAGATAATACGAAACTATGTAAGAGATCTAAGTGAATACAAGAATTATAAGCAACTAAGGAACAGGCAAGGGAACAAAATTAAGTTATCAAAATAAAATAAAAATAAAAACTCAAAAAAATCAAAACATTGTTACCATGAGAGTAGAAGTGGTTGAGTAATCTTCTTTTGTATGCACAGCTCCGGTTTTTCCATGTGAATGGCTAGAGCTTCAGCGATACAAAGGAGACGAAACCGTATTGCCTTTGACATGTTGTTCTTGACTCGGTAGATTACTTTGAAGGAGGCGTTCGTTGAAATGCAATGATCAGTGCTGACCAGGTGTTCAATTATCGCACTCCTTATTGCACCAGTATTGCCTTTTCGTAACCATGCTGGATAGTGTTCTTGAATCCTCTTGGACAGGATGCGCGTCGAACGACCGATGTACCTGGCTCCACAGCAGCAGGTGAACTGGTATATGCACATAGAAGTGGCCAGATGTGGGATCTTGTCCTTGAGGCTCCTGCAGATTAGTGGGCGACTGGAGAACACTATTCTTAGCGTTGCTGCAAAGAATGTTCTTCTCAGAGATGATGTGATCCTTCTCTCGAGAATATCGCTCGCTAAATCTCCCTTGAAATCCAAGTTCATGTAGATTTTCTTTTTAGGCGCAGTCAAAGTTTCGTTTTTCCGAATTATTGGTTTCATATTTTTGTCGATAAATCTTATTGGGTAACCATTTTGGATGAATATTTCTCTCAGAATATCTAATTCTGTTTCCAGAACGTCGGGACTACAGATGCGTCGGATGCGGGTAGCAAGTGATTTAATTAAATTCCGCTTTTGTTGAATGGGCACCCAGCTATAGAAGCTTGTTAGTTGACCATTCCACGTAGGTTTTCTATGGATTGATCTTCTTAGGCTCCCATCAGCTCTTCTTGTCAGTTCCACATCAAGAAACGGAATTTTTGACTCGTTTTCCATTTCAAGAGTGAATTTTATTGCTGGATGGCAATTGTTAAATGTCTTCAGCAGTAGATTGGGGTCGTTGTTGTTTAATGCGTTTGTAGTGGTTCAAATTTGTAAAAAAGCGTCAGTTCAAAAACCGGGGACCGATCTGCAGTCGAACGCACTGAGCTATACCCGCCTATGCCTCAATCCTCGTTTGATAGGGTGGGGTTTTATTATTTCATTTTTTGACATTTATTATTTTATAGATTGCTAATCTCATTAATGAAGCATCTTTAACACTTTCAACTAGTGTTAAAGTAACATTTGCTTCGAGTGACAGAATTGCTGATACATCGCGAAAGCTCATTGTTGGACAGCTTTTTTGAAGTACCTAGTTTTTCTCATGACTTACACTCTTCCTAGGAGGTTGTTAAATTTCAACATGATCCCAATTCGGAAGTTAAAAAAGCTGTAATAGGCTTCATCGAAGAAGCTTGGTAAGTATTTTTGCGGAAATTTATGAATATACATTTTAATATGTAAGCACTTCACTGGGAAAATTTTAAGGTTTAAAAAGTATTTGCTAACTACTAAATAAATTTCAGATGACTGGTAGTGCCTATGACACATTTCTAACTTATTTGTAATTATAAGAATTGACCATTTTCGAGTCACTTGTTATATATCGCCATGTGACCCCACAAGAAGTCCAGAAATTCATCTTTCGTGACGGTTTGCACGTTCAGTCTCTGTGTGAGCTCATGCGACAAAAATAATAAGCCTTAACAATGAAACATTTACGGCGCTTACAGATATTAGCTAAATAAGTTGGTTAGATCATTAGCTTAAAATATTGTACCAGTATCTATCCTGACTATTCTTTATCCTCTTTAAAAAAGTAATGAAATATATAAAATGATATTTGTAGCCCAACTGGTAGTCAAATTGCTGATCTATTCCTTCCAGATAAGTTCATTCTTCAATAACGAATACGACCTGTGTTGATAAATTTAAAAGGCTCAACCTACTGCAATTGCGTGACTGTTTCTCAAACCTGTTCTTTTGCGATTAAATGGGAATGTTGTTACCCTCAACACGCCTTATATTCCCTTCTGTGTCATGACTTCACAACTTGCACTGTTTTTCACCGTCCACTTGTATAAAATATAGAAGCTTAGATTGTTAAAACGTGATACCAGCTAACATTTCTAAAAATTCTTTACTGTGAAATCATCCATCCATAAGCTGTAAAAACGATTACTCATGGGTAAGACAAAAATTAACCGCATTCTGTTTCAACAACTTTTGTGGTGTGTCCACTGTAGTCATTTCGCAGCACTACTTTCCTTCAGAGTCCTACTGAAGTCAAACTTTGAGACTTTTACCATTAAAGCCATTACATTGTCAGTAAGGTTACTTGTGCATTGTCTTTTTATACTGCTTGTATAAATTTATAAATGGGTTAGGAGTTGTAGCACCTCTAGTTTTTTCCACTTTTCTGGCATGTTATTGCTATCCTTTTCGAGGAGTTACTGTGTTCTCATCACATGTTATTTACTTTGAAGTTTACCGGACTGATAAAATAATCACTGTCCAGCTCTCTATTATCTCGTATTTATGATAAATAGCTCAAATTCTTGAGATTATCTTTTTATTCATCAACTCTGGAATACTATTGAATAACTTGTCTCTCTTAATTCATATATCTTTCATTTACCTGCGTTTCGAAATCTCAGATATTTTTCCATTTAAACTTCATTTTGATCCCAATAAGTATGATTTTATCGACGTCAGTTTGCAGTGTTTTGTGAATAATTTAGGTCATATGTGTAAACAGTGAAATCTGAACCACCTGCGTCAGTTCAATTTTTATAAAAAGGATTAATGCTATGCAGTACACTTTCCTATAGGCTAGACTGAATTCCTGAAGTAAGGGTTGGCGTGGGAGTGGAGTTTCAATCTGCAGCCCACTATTTAAGAGCCATGTTTAAAACATTGATACAAAATATTCACGACAGAGATTTCAATAACCATTTGTAATAATTACCACTCACATAGGCCTCATCATGCCATAGTTTGAAAAGACTGCCTATAGTTGATAAGCTGTATCCTCACCTGAAGCTGTGGCTCATTCACCCGTGGAAGTCGACCTTCAACCGATTCAGCCATGGGTTCGAATCCCCATCCATCTATCGAGGTTTGAGCATTTAGGTAGCTTCACTTACACATGCTTCAATAAGGGTGGTTCGTTGCCAACTGCATGGAAATTCAGGTAGTTGTTGAGTCCTATGTGTCATTCGTATCACGCTTAAGTTTTCGCGTAGGCTTCATTCGACTATAGAGGAGAGGGGTGCTGACCTTCATATGAAATTAGTGTTAATATTTCTTAGCACTTTGCATATTTTCACAGTCTTAATAATCATTCTGGGAATTTATCTTACTGTTTTGTGGTTTATTTGAGTAAAATCTCACTACTTGCCGGGTTATTATTTACACATACCACTTAGAGTTAGAAAGAATTTTAAGTGCTTTAATCACAGTGTCCTGAGGATGTTGGACATTCTCTACAGTAATGTTGATCACTTTTTGTTGAATACCTTTGTGAATCTTATGGTATTTGGTGGTAAATATTTTGACAAACTTTTCCATTGCTTGAATTATTTTCTAACTTTGTAAACATATTTTTGTAGTTAGTGATTAGGGCTTTTCATCAGTAACAATTGTTTTTACTTGAGATTTAAGTTCAGACCTCAAACCCCAAAAAACAGCACTGTGTAACTCTGAAGAGTTTCATTATGAAACAACAAGCACTTCAACTCAGTAATTATAAAAAGTGAAGTATTTGTATTAAGAGGCATGCTGTGGTTGTAGGTTACCGGCTTGTGGTTGACAAAACACTAAGACCCAGTGGTGGACAGATGATTTCATACAAAACAATGTCTATTTGGTGCATATTGATGGTTAATCTTCGCAAACATTTCAAACGCTGCATTACTTTTTTCTGTCTTTCTCTATTTTTGTGCTACAGTCTAACCACTTGTAGTGTCAGTCATTGTTTTGACATCTGTGACACTGTATGGTTTGCCGACGTTGTGGTAGAGTTGTCCTGAGTTTCATTGAGAGAGACCTTTTTTGAGAGATATTAGATCTGTGAAACATTTCAGTAGGAGGTTGTGAGTTATCTACCTACAGACCCAATTCTAGGTACATAATTCCGGCGTTCAAATCCCCGCCAACCTAGTTCCGTTTGGACAAACAGCTAACATTATGAACCCACACATATGTATTGTACGATTCTCAGCCTAGTGTTATAAGAATGTATGCGTCAATGTACTGCGTTGTGTTAGTTCTCTTTTAAGCAGTGTAGTTTAAAAATGAGTGCTTCGTTTGTAGAAACATCGATGTTCTAGTCTGTGACTTTCGTTACGTAACTATTTTGATTTCTACCGCTTTAATAGGAAGTGTAGTATACCTAATATGCCTGAGTTGCGTCGACTTGTGTGGACCAACTTCTAGGCTCCTTCAGTAATAGTTCACTTTAAATATATACTTTTTTATTCTTTTACGTTCCCTAGTGGAACATAGGGCTTCAAGCTAGAGGCTTGGAAGTTTCGGTAGCGGTGGTGTTTATTTTTATGGGATGGGATTGCTATCCCTATGCCCAGCCTTCCCTCTTTGCCAGTCTTATTACTGGCTTAACGAGGTCAAGGAGTGCGTCAGTGACCGGGAATAAAACCCTGAACCACATTCGTGGTTGGCGAGCACTCTACCGCTGTGCCTCCGACGCACTTTATGTGTATATATATATCTCCGAAATAATAATTAAGTACAATCTGGAATATGTTAGAACTTACGTCGTATTTTACTTTCTATATTATAGTATTATTATTCATAGTGGCTATATGGCTGATATCGACCTAATCATTCGATTCTCAGCCGATGGGTCTTGCATTCGAATCCTGCATCACCTCTTTCAGCCTAGTTGTTATCATCAGTCGCCACATATCAAGTATGGCTGATGACATGGTACGTGAGATATCTCTTCCGCGTAAAGCAGCAGCAGCAGCAGATGATGATGATGTAGCATAGCTGTTGTACCACAAGACTTCAAAATGCCAACATGCTGTCAGTGAAAAGGTTGCTAGTACTCCTTATCGATCGTTGTTAACAAGAAGTGTGCTCAGAAAAAGAAAATGAAGGTTTTATTTTATGCAATACTCACACTTTATTCCATCAGAAAATTATTGGTAGTCATCCTTTCTCTTCTTGGATAATAGGATTTCGTGTTGATTCGTGATTTAAAAATGCGTACTGAGTCCTATATGGAGTATTTACCTTTGTTATTCCACCGTAAGAATACCATTTTCTCACGTAGAATTCTGTGTATGCCGAGAAATTTTACGATTACCTGAATCTCGATTTATGTTTAAAACCCGAGTTTACATTTAATAGTTTGAGAAAATTTTTTAATGTTTGGGTATATGATATTCTTCGTTGTTATAAAGCGGTTTCGTATTTCCCAAATGAATGAAAAATTAGAACGATATTGTTTTTTTTTATTGAAGTTTCCCCATTTAATACTGCTATAACAGCTTTATCAAAGCAAGAACAACAGTTCGTGCAGAATTAGGCGTTCAATAGCGATTGCTTCAGCAAACTTTAGGAGAACGGAACCATTTTGCATATTGATAATTTTAAAGGATTTTGCACCCTTCCCTCCAAAAATAGTGACAAAATCAATACGAATATGATAAGAAATTTTAGTGTGTAAATACACGCTGTTCTTATAATTTCATACATTTATCTCAAATCCAACAGTCTGCACACGGTTTGTTATCTTAATCAGTTCCTGGCGTAGACGTGATATATGACTGGCTGTCGACCGAATGGTGTGTGTACTCCTCAGCACTCCGCTCCGTTTTCCTTTATGGCTGTGAGTGAGACATGGCCATTAAGAGTGAAAGACATGAAAGAGCCTGGATAGCTGTCTTTGATCATAGGTGCTTGCATTCCATCTCCCGTGTCAGGTGGTGGTATAATAGGGTGAGCAATATTGAGGTTAGGCATCGGTCGAATGCTAGGTAAGGAGGGAGGGTAAATCGATAAACGAGTCCATGAAGCAGCTGCATGTATTGAGATGGTTAGGACATGTGTTACTCATGCATGTCTAGCCATCGCCTTCGTCGACCGACAGTCAATGTTAGCTGACATAGGATGGGTCAGGTTGGAAAAGAGCCAGTGGTAGTCAAACCAAAACCAATATGGCTTCATCAGTCTATGAAATCTATGACAGTTAGTTTAAACTAGTCACGTAGGAAGGTGTAGACTGCTGTCTGGTTGGGGTCCTTGGGAGGGTGAAAACCAATGACTGGAAACAATCGGTGATATAGCTCAAAATCGTTCTTAGTGATTACGCAGATGCATCCACTCCTTGTGACTTATAATTTACATTGAAACTATATTTTTCTTCGTTATTACTATTCCTTTGTCTCATATCCCTGCCTGCTATCTCTATTATGCATTTCTTGTACTTTCTTCTCTTACTTTGTGTGCTACACGGAGGGAGTGTGGCGACTTAAACTGCTGCATATCGGTGCAAAGTTCTATGGCGAAAACAGACAGACATATTAATCAGTTTACATTCAATTGACAACTTGAAAGTTATCTCTGGTTTAATATTACTTTGATGAATGATGACGATGTTTTTAAACTCCTTTGCTTTTTACATGGAAAATAAGTCTTCAAGATTGACCTCTGGGGTTTCGGTAGTAGTGATGTTCATATTTTACGGGGTGGAATTGCTAGCCTCATGCTCAACCCTTTTTCTCTCTTTGCCAGGGTACACTATCGGCTAAGCGAGGTCTAGGAGTCCGTCAGCTGGGAATCGAACTCCCGAGGCGAGTATTCCATCACTGAAACACCGAGGCTTAAAAAAATCCAGAGAGTACTGGATAGCAGTTCCATCATCCTGGTGCTTGGAACTCTTCAACAGCACTATGCATCCAAGACCTTCAGGTTACAAACCGAGTTCGTACACCATTCAGTTACTGGTACACTAGTGAAGGTATTGGCAGCCCTAAATAGCCAAGCATCAGTAGAAACACTAATATCGTTTTGTTTTTCCATTCATTAGGAAATACAAAGGTTTTTATATTAGAGAATGTTTATTTCCCAATTTAGTTTTATCTGATATTGTGAAACATGATTTGCCTTTGTGTCCTGCCCCCAACCCCCCTCCTTAATCTCTGTTTTTTCTTCTTTTTGCATTTTACAGTCGTGTTGATACAGGTCTGCTGAAAAGAGCAGTAGGCTCATTATTCTATATCTTTTCTACAGCAATACAACAAGAACCACCATCTATCAGTTTATTAAAGCGTCTTATGTCATCAATGATCCCGATCTATCGTACTGCATTATCATGTGCTGTTAAAATTGGTATCATTGATTCTGGTGTAGCAATTGGCAGTGGAATTGGAATCACTGCCAATTCAACAGCTGATATCGCCTTGGAAACATTTCGTAGTTTAGCTGGACTTAAAGATGAACTTGTCCGATTAATGTTACCAATGGAAGTATCAGGAACATCAATTTTTGGTCAATATCATTCTTCACTCGTGCATAATGATGTTATACGAATTCAAGCAATTAGACTAATTGAAGTTAGTTCATGCTTCTTTTAATTCTTGTTTCTTTTATTTTGCTATTTGTTGTGGCTGTCATCAAAGTGTTAGTTGCATGAATTATTATTATTCCCTTGAGTTTTGAGTGGAATTGACTATCCGATTGACTGAATGGTTTCAACATAGAACTTTGTACAGGAGTGTAGCACTTCAACTTATGACACTCGATATCCCACACCAAAGGAAGACAAAAGAGGGAAATAGAAAAGATTCAAAGGAACAATAATAATCAGGCATATGAGAGAGAAAGAATAGTAACGTGAAAAAAACACATGAGGGTTTATTGGATATTGGAGATCACAAAGAATGAATACTACAGGACTGGACTACATTGACTCCTAGCTTAGAAATAGGCAGGAGTGAAGTGGTTGGTGGGGCGTGTTGACCACTTCACTTACTTGGGAAGTTGCATCAGCCAGTTCCAACGAGATGATCGCTGACGAAATCTCTGCACTGATACAGAAGACTCGTTTCACATATGCCAGTTTATTCCGTCTCTGGCGTAGACGTGATATCCGGCTGGCTATCAACCAAAGGACAGGTGTACTGCTCAACAGTCCACTCGGTCCTCCTTTATGGGTATGAACGAGACATGGCCATTGAGAGGGGAAGGCATGAAAGAGAAGGCTAACCGTCTCTGATCATAGGTGCCTGCGTTCTATCTCCCGTGTCAGGTGGTGGTATAATAGGGTGAGCAATATTGAGGTTAGGCATCGGTCGAATGCTAGGTAAGGAGGGAGGGGAGATCAATAGATGGGGCTGTGAAGCAGCTGCATGTATTGAGATGGTTAGGATATGTGTTACACATGCATGCCTAGCCATCGCCTTCGTCGACCGACAGTCAATGTTAGCTGACTGACAGGATGTATCAGGTTGGAAAAGAGCCAGTGGTGGTCAAACCCGAACACAGCTTCGTCACTCAATAAAATCCACCACAGTTAGTTTAAAGGCACGTAGGAAGGTGTAGACTTCTTGGCTGTTTGGAGTCGTGGGCACGGTAGAAACCAATGGCGACTGGAGATAATTGGGGATATGGCTCAAAATCTTTCTCAATGACTGGTGAAGATGCATCCACTCCTTGTGACTAATAATATCCAATAACACTATTGATATAAGCATAAAACTTGGACACTGTGGTAGAGTAAAACTTCATTATGGATAAGATTTTATTTTGATAAATCACACAGTGTTGTATAGTAATATTAACTGATGACCACACGTTTCGAGCACAATTTATTGCCACTCATAATCATATCAAGTCACTCACACAAACAAACACAAGGTGTAGCAATGGGATGGATCATCACTATCCCCCATCTAACAGATATCTTTATAGACAGCTGGGAAAATATTGCTCTTAATACATTTAATCCGACTGCAAAAATGCAGTGGAGGAGATATATGTATGACACATTCACAGTGTTAAAAATAAAGCATATATCTAGCTTCTTCACACACACATAAACTCACTAGTGAGGGGAATACAATTTACATTCGAATCGGAAAACGAACAAGGAGAATTAGCTATGAAGTTAGATTGTAAAATCAAACGAACAGAATAAGGTAAACTGCACACTGGTGTTTATAAAAAGCCAACGCATTCTGCTCATGGATATTTCGACTTTAATTCATCTCATCTACTGTTATCTGTAAAGGTAGGCTTAGCTAAGTGCCTAACAAACTGAGCAGTAGTACTAAGCAGTATGACAAAAAACGTAAATAATGAAATGAAACAGATAGAAGAGGCGTTGGTGTTAAATAACTAACTATCCTGTCAAATTCATTTGAAAGATCACTAAAGACCAAAAACAAAATAAAAAGAATTGTGAAACTAGTAGTGATAACATAAATGAGAAAGAATATAAGACATCTACAGTTTTATCATATAAAGAGGGGACATCTGAGACTTTCTCTACGTAGGATTCTTAATAAAGCAGGAAATACGGTGGCGTTCAAACCTACAAGCTCTGTAGCCTAAAGAACCCTGTTGGTTTGACCAATTAAACAAAATAATATAATTTACAATGACTGTGAGTTAAGTCAACTACACAGGTCAGTCAAACTAGTAGATCAGGCAGGAATAGTGAGATTATCAGAACATAAGAATTTAGCTAAGGTTAGAATGATTGATCCCACCCGCGAAAATAATGAATTTAGAAAACAGCTCAGCAGTAGCACTGCATGCATTAAGACAAATTTCAAGAAGTAATATGAGTAGATGGAGAGAGAGAGACATTAATTAGTGAATCCTGCCTGGATCATCGAGTCTACACACCCAACGCATGCGATAGAAGTGACTCAATGCAAATGCCAGAGATCTAGAAGAGATTATTACCACCAGTCAGTCAAATCAGAGGAAGATAATAAATAATAATAATAAATAAATAATAATAAATAATAACGTCATCAGTAAACATTACTGTATAACACTGTTAGACTTAATCAAAACAAAATTTACCCATAATGGAATTACACTCTACCACAGTGCACAAGTTTTATTCTTATATCGAGGATAATAAATAATGTTAAAATGTATTCAATTCACATTTCACACATTTATTTATATTACTATAAAAACATCGTATTTCCCATCTTATTGACTAACAACACTCGTCTTATTTCCCAGCCCATCGTATTCTATTGATAACATTAATATTATTTCCGAGTGTACTTTATCTTATATTGATTTTATTCAAATGTTTAATCAACTTTACTCATGTATATAAATGAAGCAAGAAAGTTGTGTAAGTGTTGCCTTGATATGATTATGAGTGGCAATAATTTGTGCTCCAAGCGTGTGGTCATCAGTTAATATTTGTTACTGTATAACAAGCACACTGTGACTTTATTCATAACGGAGTTATCCAAGAAGACTATATTGTTCTCCCATATGACTATTCTTTTTGCCTCATGTTTCTGTTTATTATCTCTGTTTTGAATCTCTCTTTACTCTCTTCTCTTGCTTTGTATGCTAAGTGAAGTGTGTAAACTTGAACTGCTGCACATAGGTGCAAAGGTCTACGTTGAAACTAGTCAGTCAGTCAATCAGTCTTCGCCAGTCATTGAGAACAGTGATTTTGAGCCATATCATCAATTGTCTCCAGCCTTCATTAGTTCTTACCACCATCCCGAGGATCCCAACCAACCAGAAAGCTAGTCTACATCTCCCTACGTGGTTGGCTGGCTGGCTGGTTTAAACTACCTGTTATCGATTTCACTGACTGACGAAGCCATACGTTGGTTTAACCACCACTAGTAGCTCTTTTACAACCTGATACATCCTATGTCAGTCAGCTTACATTTAACGTCGAGGGAGGTGATAGCTTGTCATATGTAACACATATCCTAACCATCGATTGATTTTCTCTCCTTAGCTAACACTCAGCTGAAGTATAACCTCAATATTACTCACTCTATTACGCCTGTCACCTAATGCAGGGGATAGAACGGAGGGAGACACCACTTATGGTCAAATATTTGAGGGTAACATAGAGCAGGGCTTGAGTAACAGAATGTATAGATCTTGGAAAGAGACGTAAAATTATGGGTTTATAAGACAATTAAAACATCACGTGACACATAATGGAAAGTGTTGAATAGGACAGAGTTTAACACCGCCAAAAATGTGTTTATTTAAAAAATAGTAAATGGGATAGTTTGAAATAATGCCAGAAACTGTTCAAGATGGAAACAAAAGTGATAACAGGATATTCGTCATGAGCTGACATTAGTTAGAGAACCATTGGAAAACCTGGGAGTACTGGACAGCTGTTTCGTCCTAGTTTGGGACTCTTCATCAGTGCGCACCCACCGGGATTCGAACCCAAACTATAACGAAACAGCTGTCCTGTACTCCCAGGTTTTTCAATGGTTCTCTAACTAATGTCAGCTCATGATGAATATCCTGTAACCAATCAAATCCCTACAAACCAACACTTGAAAAGTGATAACAGTTGTAGTAATAAGGGAAACGTACATAGACTAAATAAACAAATGTTTATCTCTCTACGTCTGAGGTGTTAACAAGGACCGTACGTGCTTCTTTGTACACGAAGGCCTGGCTTGAGTTCATGAATGGTCAAGGCATCCTCTGTCTTTAGAAGCTTACAACAAGGAAAATGTGGCAAGTTAGCATGAATTGGATAGACGATCTTAAAACCATATTCGTGGTTGGTAGTCACACACTCTTTCCCGTTGTGAAGACATACTAGAATGTGTTCTCTTATCCGTGTAGAAAGCATTGTCTAGCCACGATCTATTTACCCTGCTCCACAAGAGCAGGTGAACTGGTAGATGCACATAAAGGCAATCAGACGAGGTAGCTTTGCACACACTTCCTTTCTCCCTTGTAAAACCATTCAGGAATATGTTCTCGTATCCGTGTGGAAAGCGTCCTCCGGCTACTACCAATGTACCTTGCTCTACAGGAGCAGGTGAACTTTGATAGATGTACATGGAGGTGGTCGAACAATGGAGCTTATCTTTGACAGAGACAAAGTACAACTTACGACTGGTGAATGTCATTTGTAATTTTCCAGTAAAGAACGTCTTACTGAGTGATTTAGACCGACGATATTTCAGCATATCTGAAGCTTGATCACCTTTGAATTCCAAATCCATGAGTATGGTTTTCTTTGGAATTGAGTCAGTGACCTGTTTGAATTGCTTAATTTTCGTGTTTTGTCAATAAATCGGTTCGGGTAACCGTTTTCTGCGGGTGTGCCTTTTCGGAAGTCATCTTCTGAGTCAACACAATCGGAACTACAAATATTTCTTGTCTTAAAGCAGAACTAGTGGACTAAATTCCTTTTCCTGGAGATAGGCACCCAACTATAAAAATCAGTTAGTTGTCCATTCAATGTACGTTTCCCGTGGATAAATGTTTTGCAGAGATTCGTCATTTCGTCTACTAAGGCACACATCAAGAAAATGGTATGCTTTTCTATGTTGAATTACAAAGAGGCATGGCAGTTGTTGAATGCAAACAAGATATCATCAACAGTTACGTTCTTATCGCAGATAACGAAAGTGTCGTCTACGTAGCTTCTATAAATGTCAAAGTGACTGGTGGTCCAAATAAGTTGAGTGTTTTCAAGCCTTCCCATAAAACAATCAGCGATCAGTTAGTTGACCCAATGGTGATCCCATCGCAATGTCATCTCTCTGTCTAAAAATCTCATTATTAAAACTGAACTGAACGTTGGACATCCGTCTTAATAAGAGTTCGTTCAGGTGGATTGTTGGCAACCCTATGTCTTTAAACTGTGTACAGCAATATTAATCACATTCAGCATTATAGTTTTAGTATTCACACCTTTGTTTAAATTTCCTCACGAGACTTAATTTGTTAATAAAGTCATTGAAAAGACTATTTTCGCTGAATACTGTGTTCTTAATAGTCCATTAGTTATAGTAATTAAAAAAATATGCGTAATATTCTAATTGTTGTTATTCCTTTTTCAGAGTGTAATTATTTTACACTCTCGTCGACTACCCAACTCTGAAATCCCACGTGCCAATGAAGGTGACATATCCTTAGATCAGATACCAGCGCTTACAAATACCCAATTACAGTCTATCTTAGAGGCGAGTACAGCCGCATCATCAGCTACTCTTCTTCCCGGTGTCTGTTTAGTTAGACCTCATCGATTAGCAGAGGAAGCTGAACGTTTATTTGCAGGATTATCAAGTTGGCCGGTGCGTGGAAAGCCTAGTGTTACTGCAGGATCAGTTACTTGCCCAGTAGTTGAAGCAGTAATGGATTCATTAGTGAATATTGCAAAACAAAGACCACAATTTATGGATCGTGTTGTACAAGCATTTGAAACAGTTCATGGTAAGTATTTATTCTTCTGTATTAATTATTTACTATTATTGTATCTTTGGGTTCTGAGTAGAACATAGGACTCCAACAGTACATCTCCATTTCGTCCCGTTCTCTGTAGTCCTCTTCAACTGATCACACGACTACTCATAAGCTTTCATCTACTTGCATGATGATCTCCTGTGTGTCATCTATGGACAGCCAAGTCGTCGTTTCCCATTTGAGCTCCACTCGAACGATGACCTGGCAAGCGATGACATTGGACGGTCTCCTCAGCGTGTTTCCCTGCGTCCATCTCCACTTTCTTCTACACATTTGTTGGATAGTAGGTTCCTGATTGGTTTGTTCCCAGAATTTCTGGTTGCCAATTCTTTCTGACCTGCCATCTGATCTTCAGTAAAGAGCCAGGGAAGGTGGCAGCTGTTGATAAAAGCCTGCGAGAGCTTGTTGGAAATACTTATCGTGACGCTCCAAGTTTCTGATGATCTATATAGAAGAACTGACTGACTGACTTAACATTGCTGTTGGAAATCCTATTTCCAAACTGGTTTCAAATCGATGCAGACGTATCTTGTCTTTCCGATTCTGGCTAAGCTTTGACATGAACTGACATCGGTTAGGACGAATACTCGCCACGGATGACATTCGCTAGTGGTCGCGCCATATCATGAATTAGCAGAAGTTGGAATTCGTGTGGTGGCCATTGGATCGGATGCCAGTGGTTTAATGGTCTACAAGCTCGCCTTGAAACCAGTGGGTGCGTAATGCTGAAGAGTCCCAAACTAGGGTGAAACAACTGTCCAGTACTCATAGGTTTCCCCCAATGGTCCTCTAACCGATGTCAGTTCATGATGAAATCCTGAAGCCAATCAAATCCCTGCAAACCAACACTTGAATACGGTAGTAATCGTTAAGATGCGCATATACCTAACTCATAAAATAATGAATGTTAAAGTGTAGCAACAGAAGACAAGCGCCAGGCAACAGATCGTTTATTAAGGAAATTAAAGCATATTTATATATTTTCATGTACATTATTATAGTTTAATTAAGTAAACAACACAGTCTTCTGATTGGTTGTTTCTCACTTAGAGTTAATCTTCCATCTCTTGTGACTGTTTCTTGAATGTCAGATCATCTATATGTTAACTGTATCCGCCTACGCAAATTCTGCTGTGGTCGGTTTTGAATCAGTCTTGTTAATATTTTCTCACGACAAATCGTGAGAACGTAAACATTGACGTAAATTACTATCTACCAATTTGGCTAGTAGACAGCTCTCACCACAAAAGGAGTGGTGTTATGTCGATTCCCCAGTTTTACTGTTAAATTATTATTATTGTCCCCTTGGGTTCCTAGTGGAACATAGGGCTTCAACTGCACGTCTCCACTTGCTTCTGTCTTCTGCTGTACTTTTCACCTGCATCCATGTTAGTCCATACTGTTTCATCTCCTCTTCACACGATCTCCTCCATGTCACCTTTGGATGTCCCACTCACTGCTTCCCTTTCGGGTTCCACTCGAGCGTTGGCCTGACGCGCGATGTCACCCAACGGCCTCCTCAGCTCAGCGAGTGTCCAATCCATCTCCACTTTCTCCTGTATATTTGTTGGGCGATTGGTTCTTGTTTTGTTTGTTCCCATAGTTTCTTGTTGGTGATTCTTTCCGGTGGCCATCAGATCTTCAGTATAGAGCCAGCGAAGACAGTTGTTGATAAAGGTCTGCAACAGGCTGTTGGAAATATTCTTTGTGACCCATCAAGTTTCTGATCCGTATGGAAGAACTGACTTGACGTCGTTTATACTGAAAATCCGAATTTTGTTGTTGATGCTGAGTGACGAAGATTTCCAGATTGGTTTCAGGTTGATGAATGTGTTTCTCGCCTTCCCGATTCTCGATTTGACATCCTCGTCCGTTCCTCCTGTAGTTGAGACAATGCTCCCTAGATAAGTGAATGAAGTAACCTCTTTCAAATCCATCGCGTTGATGGTGATTGGCGCTGGATGTTGCTGTTGTTGTTGTTGTTGTTGGTTGGTTGGTTATTTTCATAACCTCCGTCTTGTCTATGTTCACCTGGAGTCCTGTCTTTGCTGCTTCTTCGACCAGTTTGTCGGTTTTCGCTTGTTAGTCTTCGATTTTGTGTGACATCAAACATAAATCATCCGTAACGATCCAGGTCTTCTAAGTTCTTCACGTCGGTCCAGGATATCCCTGTCTTCTCGTTTCCCACTGTCTGACGCATAATCCAGTTCACCACAATTAGGAATACCATTGGTGATAATAAGCACCATTGTCCGACTCCTGTGTTTACTCCAAACGGCCTCGCTGAGTTTTCCGTTAAATTAGGACTAAGTCATTTTCGGTAGCCGGCTACAGACTTTCATCAATAACTGGGTTGATACCAAAGATCATCAGATGACCGGTGGGGAAGAATAAGCAGGTAATGAATCAACCAAGAGCCTTGTTAATTCCTTTCCTACCTGTTCATTCTCAATCTTTCCTTTGTTCAACATTATACTACTTGCCATTAGTGAGTAGTATGATTTTTATATGTTAATTTATAACAATGACATTTGCTTACAACTGCAGTTAAATTACTTGTTCTATTATCATTCTATTAATGTATAGTTCTTATTTTTCTTCTCCTTAAACATTATTTGCTGACCTTACCCTATAGTGTATGCTTTACTATTAAAAGTTGTTTGTTCATATTTGTTGATTCTTTGCTTGGCATTCGCGGGCCGCTTGAAGCGACACGTGGATCGACCTTGACACAGCATTGCTGTTTTTACTTATTGACTGCACAGTGGTTGTGCATTTGACGGCATTTAGCCACAGACACCTCACATTTTGAGGTTTGTATATTATATATCTATTTTTATGTAATAAAGTACCGTATTGCAGAATATCCTGTATTTCGCACTTTACGCGTCACTCTACGTGTGGTTAAATCTATAATTTGGATAATCGTTTCGGATTTCTCTCGGGAGAAATTCACAGTACTCAAAGTTGGTCTTGTTGATCTATTTGGACAATTATCAATGCCGGTTACTCGTAGTATGTCTGGAAAACTGGAAAACGCTGAAGAATATCTTCGAGTCAATTTATCTTCACCACAAGTTTCTTCTCTACCTGTTTCCTTATCATCTGATTTGGATAATTTTAAAAACACCCCTCATGTCAGCCTAGGTTTTGATAATGTTGCTAGGGGAGGTAGTGTAGTAGTAGACTCCGATGTTGATTCGAATGTTGCTACCGAATTAGAGATTCTAGAGCTTAAGGTTCAAGAGCTGAAAGACGCTATAGTCAGTTTCAAGGTCATGATAGGTTCCTGCGTCGGCTGGTTATATGTTTTCGTGAATTCGTTTTCCATTGAATTTTAAAGGTTTTTTTGGATGTTTTACGCATTTTGCAGTGTGTGGGTCAATTTTTGTCACTGGATGCTTCTATTAAGCTTATTTCTAGCCTGAATTTCCTAGTTATTATGTTGGTAGTTAAGGATACTGTTATTCAACTGACTCCGCTGCCTGGTTTAGATTAAGATTTCCAAGGCCATTCTCGCGTTCATTCCTCAGGGTGTCTATTCTCTGCCTTCGCTAACATAATCACATGACAGCGGTTGAAAGATTTGAGGATCATGACTTACTCTAATTCTAATATAATCCCCTACGTTGATGAAGTACCGAACTGATATGTTCAGTCATCTAGTCAACAGTTGGCTACTTTGAGGACGAAGAAGTCAATGTAACCCAAGCGCATTACACCCAGTTAACTGATTTTTTTATTCTAATGAAACAATAAATACTGTCCACCTGTCCTACTTGCTTTCCAAATGATTTGCCGTCTTTAAGTCATGCTTACAAATCTTAAGTTCGTTTCCGAAAATTTTATACCTACCACTGCCTATAACTTCACCGTTTTGACTTTCATCGTAATGGTTATGTCGCGCATCCATATCTGTCTCCATACTCTGCGAGACTTCTTTATCTATTTCCATAACACCTACTGGATATATTTCTGAAAATAAATCACTGAGCAGCCCCAAGAAACATATTACCTTCTTTCTTTATATTCATAAAGGCTTCCAAATTTTTAAGATGTCTTTCTTGTTCGCGCATTAAATCAATAACACGTTGTTGCAACTCGCATGTCATTTTGAATGCCAGCTGAAAGTTAGCTAAATCCATTTCACCTGCCAAGATGTGTGCATTCTGTATCTAAGACAAAATTATACAAGTCAGCTCTATATTTACCGCAGCAGCGTATAATTTTAGTTTCAGGTCTACTGAACAATATTGAAAGACGCTATAGTCAGTTTCAAGGTCATGATGGGTTCCTGCGTCTGCTGGTTATATGTTTTCGTGAATTCGTTTTCCATTATATTTTAAAGGTTTTTTTGAACGTTTTGCTTGTTTTGGAGTATGTAGGTCAGTTTTTTGTCACTGGATGCTACTAAGACGTTTATTTTTAGCTTGCAGTTCCCAGTTTTTATGTTGGCAGTTAAGGATTATGGTAAATCTGCAATCATTGAGCCATTTCACGTATTCTATGCTAATACAGTAACATTCCTCAGTAAGTAAACTCCTTAACTGTTCTGCCATTGTTGGATCAAACAGTGGCAGGACAGTTACGGATTATTTGCTTAAACTGGAACTGTGCGCTGGTTGTTCAGCATGACTGGCACCAATTCAGCACCTTACTCTTCTTCTACGCATTTTCAGAAGTAGCTTATCAGCCTTACTGCAGCCCTTCTAGTCTAGGTTCTGCTCCTCCCAAGCTTACCATAATGCTGAATTAAATCTCACTAATTCTGAAATAATTCCAACGTTCTATAGTAAGTAAATTCTGAATCTGTTCTTAAATAGATTCTTGAATGGCACAGCCTAGAACTCAGTTGTGGTTTTCAGCATGACTGACACTAATCCAACACCATGTTCTTTTTCTAGACATTTTCAGGAGTAGATCAGAACCTACTGGTTTTGCTTATCAGCTTTATTTAAACCCTTTCAGCTCATTTTCAGCACGGACTAGCCTTACTTCAGAACAAAGAGACTTAATTTAGCACATAGTGGCAATTTTTTGAGCTTAACTTTGGAAATTATATTTGGAAACTGTAGTACAATGTCACTGCAAATCCATCAAGTTAGGTCTACTGGTAGCATCCTGTAAATAAGCAAAATAAAATATTAGTTGATGAAACATTGTGCTCATCACATTCTCAGCATTTACATTTAGAAAAGTTTGCTTACATAACTGCCACTGTTATATCCCCTGCTATCTTTTCCATTTGCCTAGAAATAAAAACAATGTTGTGATTACTACATGTTGACTTAACGTTGACTTATAAAACGAAGCGGGCGTTTAACAATATCACCTGAATTCCTTTCTTCAGGTTACGCCTTTGGACACGATCTTTCAAATTATGGAAGTACGATTTCGTGGCCTAATCCATTATGTCACCAACCTCTCTCGATGTCATCAGTTGGTCGCTACAGAAATAAGTACTTCATTGATGAACCTTACATCTCGTGACTGAATTTCGAACATCTGAATATCCCTAAATTCCTTGATTTAAATGGTGTAGTAAAATCATCACTAAAATCACAGTAGGGTCGAGAGGGTATCCTCTCTTCAAATTCCATTTCAACTATATTCCCCGGTTTACCTGAGGCCAAGATTATATTGTCCGGAGAACAGGAAGTAAATATGGTGTTCAGATAAGTTAACTTTCCTTTGCTTAACTTAACGCCCTTAGTACTAGCTTCTGTAGGTACATGCTTAACACCTGTACTTTTCATTAAGTACACGTGCTCAACATAACGCTGAGCTACCTGCTTAGCCACAGCATATCCACAGTGCAAGGACTGTCTTATCCTGCGCATATAGGATTCAAAGGGAAATGCACTGAATCCTTCTAATGCCCCATGCAGCTCGACGTCATCCACTGTATGTTTCAGAAAATGAATATTGTAAACAATATGTTCATCTCCGAAACAGTTCTCATCTTGCAGTAAGGAATTACTCAAATCTGTCCGAACAGCATCCAAAAACAGTCAGTTGTATTTGGTAATCGAAAGTAAATATACTGACGGAAAATTTCCTATAATTATCGTACAGGGGAGGGGAGAGGCAGAATGTTCCTGAGTAGGCGAGACCCAAATATAGCAGTTTTTAGAAGGACCAGGGTTATATCAGTACATACTGGGTTCACTTCAAGTAGATAAAATATTCATTTACCGTAAAAAGGTATTATTGACGCGTTGGTTAGATTTTGCTGAGAATTGTTGCAAGGTTGGTCTTTTAAGTGTCCCAGGCTTACTATACTATACCTCCAAAAGTGCATTTATACCTCACAAACTTATATTCCATAGGGCCAGATGGATTTTTTTTTACTTGTATCAACCCGATAGGATGTGTTTGATTCCTTTTAAAGAAATAATGAACAATTTAGTTGTTACCTTCATAAATGTATCAAAAGCTTACTTAAGTTGCACCCACGTATGAAATACACAACTAAGCATTATTCTTTGGAATACAGCCATTAAATCAGACAATACAGATGACACTTTTCGTGAAGTAGAGGCTGCAGGAGTATTTTGTAACGTCATGTAATGGTTTTAACAATGACTAACGAACACAACATTATAAATTCAAGTAAATGAGTAATAGTATATATTTCAGTGCCCATAAACCACTGTTGTGACCTAGTAAATTTAATTGATTTATGCTGACGTAATATGCACAAATCCCACAGGTCACTGAACTGACAACCTAAAAAGTGGATCAGTTAATACATATATATGTGCTAATTAAATACTCATTAATTGTCTAGACATTGTGGTTTAATCACATTCCTCTAGTAAGCAAAAATGCACACGTCCTATTTTAAACTTAAAATATATGTATGAAAATTACCGTTGTCTTATATTCACTTACTAAACATTCTCAGACATCTCAATGAGTCATGTTCGTCTAGTAGGCAAAAATGCACACATCCTATTTTAGACTTAAAATATATGTATCAAAATTACTGTTGATTTATATTGACTTACTATACATTCTCAGATATCTTAATGTACCTTTATTCATCACTAATGCATCCAAATAGCGTGTGAATTATCACACCACACTCACACCCATAAAATTAACACGTGATTATATTATGGTAAAGTACGTTCAATTAAACTGCCTGTAAATTTCCGTGTCAAAATAACAAATTACCGCTTAACTTATATTTTAGACCAATAGGAAGCCAACTAGCCAACAGCCAATCAAAATCTGCCTATATCTATTTTCTCAAGAGCTTAGACTTCGCAGCAAACGACGAAAATTGGAGAGCGAGTGCTCTCAACAAGCTAAGACTACAGCCAGCTGCGTTCGATCTTGCGCCAATCCTTCGAAAAGCCAAATTCTAGACGGTAGCACCAACTATTGCACAGAGCAACCCCCAGAGTCAAATTGTACTGCCACACCAGTCCAACCACTCCTGAACTCAGTTAGCCCCATTAGAATGCCTCAAATTGAGATGGATAGGTTCGATGGTACACCAACTAAGTTCCTGAAGTTTATAAGATGCCTTAACATGTTCATAGGAGAACAAACTAATGATGACAACCTACGGTTAATGCATCTTATACACAATTGTGTTGGTACAGTCAAGGAGGCCATAGAGCATTGCATTCTACTGCCCTCTGAGGTAGGCTATAGGAAAGCCATGGGGATTTTACGAAGTCAATTTGGCCAACCTCATGCAGTTTCGGATGCTTTCCTCTCCGAATTACTGTCAGGCCCACAGCTGCAACCTGAAGATATAGTTGGGCTACAACGGTTGTTGAGACAGATGACCAATTGTGAGATAGCCTTATCTCAGATGAATCACATGGCAGATTTGGACTGCTCTACCAACCTTAAGTGCATTGTTCAACGTCTCCCCCGGCACCTACGATGGAAGTGGGCAGAATTGGTAAACGATGGTTTACAGTTTACTGAACCTAGCTTTCGTTACCTCAAAGAATTCCTCGAAAGGCAACTGTCATTGGCTACAAGCTGTTACGGCCAGATAGCTAATGGGAATAGGAACAACAACGAAGTAGGGTAGGCTGATAAGCTACTTCTGATAATGCGTAGAATAAGAACAAGGTGCTGAATTGGTGCCAGTCATGCTGAACAACCAGCGCACAGTTCCAGTTTAAGCAAATAATCCGTAACTGTCCTGCCACTGTTTGATCCAACAATGGCAGAACAGTTAAGGAGTTTACTTACTGAGGAATGTTACTGTATTAGCATAGAATACGTGAAATGGCTCAATGATTGCAGATTTACCATAATCCTTAACTGCCAACATTAAAACTGGGAACTGCAAGCTAAAAATAAACGTCTTAGTAGCATCCAGTGACAAAAAACTGACCTACATACTCCAAAACAAGCAAAACGTTCAAAAAAACCTTTAAAATATAATGGAAAACGAATTCACGAAAACATATAACCAGCAGACGCAGGAACCCATCATGACCTTGAAACTGACTATAGCGTCTTTCAATATTGTTCAGTGGACCTGAAACTAAAATTATACGCTGCTGCGGTAAATATAGAGCTGACTTGTATAATTTTGTCTTAGATACAGAATGCACACATCTTGGCAGGTGAAATGGATTTAGCTAACTTTCAGCTGGCATTCAAAATGACATGCGAGTTGCAACAACGTGTTATTGATTTAATGCGCGAACAAGAAAGACATCTTAAAAATTTGGAAGCCTTTATGAATATAAAGAAAGAAGGTAATATGTTTCTTGGGGCTGCTCAGTGATTTATTTTCAGAAATATATCCAGTAGGTGTTATGGAAATAGATAAAGAAGTCTCGCAGAGTATGGAGACAGATATGGATGCGCGACATAACCATTACGATGAAAGTCAAAACGGTGAAGTTATAGGCAGTGGTAGGTATAAAATTTTCGGAAACGAACTTAAGATTTGTAAGCATGACTTAAAGACGGCAAATCATTTGGAAAGCAAGTAGGACAGGTGGACAGTATTTATTGTTTCATTAGAATAAAAAAATCAGTTAACTGGGTGTAATGCGCTTGGGTTACATTGACTTCTTCGTCCTCAAAGTAGCCAACTGTTGACTAGATGACTGAACATATCAGTTCGGTACTTCATCAACGTAGGGGATTATATTAGAATTAGAGTAAGTCATGATCCTCAAATCTTTCAACCGCTGTCATGTGATTATGTTAGCGAAGGCAGAGAATAGATACCCTGAGGAATGAACGCGAGAATGGCCTTGGAAATCTTAATCTAAACCAGGCAGCGGAGTCAGTTGAATAACAGTAATCTCATAAGAGAAGTACTAAATGCAGTAAAAGCAGCTAGTCTTCCTATTTTAAAGCCAGGCTAGGTTTACGTTAAGGCCGCAGTAGAGTTAGGTAAGAGTAGGTTACGTAATGGCTGAATTAAGGAACCGAATTAGCATAATTGGCAGTCCCAAGATCATTGGTGGGTTCGCCCCGAGTGTATTCTTTAACTGTCTTCTAGTATTCAAATATTTTTTCAGGAGTATTTATAGTGACTGATCGTCTAACTGTCATACCCGTAAGACTGAAGATCGCTACCACGTCTCTGCCGTTACATGTGCTGTGTAAGAATTAGAATAAGTGAAATTACATTCTTAATCCAAAGTACTACCTACTTCCGTATCATCTTGATATATAATGACAATGATTCGGGATTTCATTAAGGTTTGACCACTGTAAAGTATGCAGTACATTGCCGGAAATGCACTGATAATGCTGACCAAGGAAAAATTTAGAAGTGATAACTTGGGAAAGATCAGAAAGACGTTCATTTTACACAGCAATCAGTAAATACTAATTAATAGTGAGATATATGTGGGAAGGAAGATATACATAAACTAAGTGGATATGATAATGAAAAGATAATATTGCTGGGGAAGGGGTACATAATAAAGCAATTTGACTGGATTACAGCCACGCTAAATCTGGCCAGCTCTGTTGGTTTTAGACGTTGGTCTTCCAAATGCAACACAGGTTACAGGTGTTCCTAATCTGCAACACAAAAAAGCAGCAAAACTTGGTAACATAACTCCAGAGGTGTTTGAGGATGATGATGAATTATGCACTGAGCTAACTAAAATATTAAAGAATGTGTGGGAATCCGGGAAAGTACCGCTAGACTGGTTAGGTTGAGCCATAAAACCGATTGTGTTTCCCTGTTGGCTAGTCCATGCCAAAGTTGGGAAAAAAAATAATGAATAGGTTGGAAAATCCTCATGAAATTAGCCAACTGATGTTTGAAGAGGAGGCATTCTTTTTTGGTTCACCCCTCAACACGCTTAATTCTAATATTACAACGGATTGCCAACACCACTCACCTCATCCGTCACTAGGTTCTTTTGGGTAAGTTTCAAAATCTTAGTGTGTAAAATACAGGTGTTTCTGATTCTTTTACGTGCATTCCGAGATGTGAGTCACATTTTACTGGTGAACGATGGTAGACAGTTAGGTGCAATCACTCCTGAGCTCTTTCTAAGGCTGTACAAAACATACGTCGGACCACACCTTGAAGTGCATAATATTATTGCACCCTCACTGCTTAGAAGAGACGCTAAATTCTTGGAAAGAGTCCAAAGACGGGCAGCAAAAGGAGTGGTTGGTCTCCGAAACAAATCATATGATGAAAGGCTAAAGAAATTAGGCCTATTCACACTTAGCTACCGTCGTCTTAGGGGGATTTAATTACTGCCTACGAAATAACAAATGACCAGGATCACCCAAACAAAGGTGTTGTGCTATTGAGTAGGTATAGGCCCCCGCGTGGAAACCCCAGAAGGATAGCTCACCAGAGGGCAAGGACCCGGGTGTGCTCCCACTTCTTTTCACTGTGGGTTTGCCGTCCCTGGAATTCCTTGCCGGCAGATGTAGCTATGGCACCGTCTGTGAACGCCTTTAAGCGAAGGCTGGACAATCATCCAGAGAAACAAGGACTGCGTCTAAATGGCCTATCCCCTTAAAATCCCATACATCATTCAGGGGTAGATAACTAAGTTCATCGTTTTACATCTTTACATTCTCTCTTCCGTCTTACTCTCCTGACAACTTTAACTACACTTATTATTGTCATTATTTCCGTTATATATATGTATATAATGTATGTATATAATTTATATTATTCTACAAATTTAATCAGCTGATTGTTGTTACGTTATCTTTATTTGTTTTTCTGTCTGTTAGTCTGAATAACTTCACTAATTATATCTATTATTACTATTATTATTGTCTCTTTTCTTTTGGTGACGATACCGGAGGACTAACTGGTGAAAGGACCAACTCCATTCACAGCAGTAACAGTCTTAACACACCTCATACTACAAACCACATATAATTAATCCCAGCACTAATCCTTTGGGAGTCAATTGAAGCTATGACAGTCAAGTGGCGGAACGAGCTACTCAGAAGTTTACCGAAGATCAGGAACCTATACCTCACAATCAGGAGGCGAGCACAAAGAAATCAAATTGGTTTATACTAGCTCTTAAAAGCGATATTGGATTAGGCTTACTCCTCACGACACCATAGTACCCTTTAGACACCTATGGATATCTATTTACTTATATCTAAGATGGAATATAATGTCATTAATTAAGATTGTATTCAAATTTATTTATCTGCATGAATTCTGCTTATATAAGCGAAAAACAGTGGTATCTTTGCTTCAATTCAGACGGAAGAATTTGAAGGTTGTTTTTCGGTTTGTGTACCACTGTGTTAATGTGTAAGCTCATCCTGATATTTTGTCTGACAGATACTAAGAAGTGTCGATGTTAAACAACTTTTCCGGATAGATAACTTATGCGAAAGATCAACTTAATCCGAACTTCGTTTTTCTAAATAGTTTTATATGGCAATTATTATATTATTATTGTTTCCTTTAGTTCCTAGAGGAACATAGAGTTTCAGCCGAACGTCTCCATTGCGTTCGGTCCTCCACCAACGTTTCCACCTAGCTCAACGTCCACCCACATGCTTTCATCTCCTCTTCGCATGGCCTCCTCCATGTCACCCCACCCTTTCCCTGACGACCAACTCGCCGCTTCCCATTCGGGTTCCACTCGAGTGATGGCTTGGTGTGTGATGTCACTCACTTGATGGTTTGTTTTCTCAGAGTATGGCTAACCCACCTCCATATCTTCCTGCATATTTGTTGCACAATTGGTTCCCGCTGGGTTGGTTCGTTGCCAGAGATCTTTTCTGGCCGACCATCTGATCTTGAGCGAAGACAGCTTTTGATGAAGGTGTGTAGTTCGTTTGAAGTGCCCTTTGTGACGCGACGCTGCGCCAAGTCTCTGATTCGTATGGTGAGTAGCACTGACTGCACATTGGAGTTGGAAATGCTGATGTTATTTTTCATGCTGAGTGCTGTTGATCTCCACACAGACTTGAGAGTAACGAAAGCTTGCCTTGCTTTCTCGATGATCCTCGCTTTGATGTGCTCATCAGTTCCGTCCGCTTGTAGTTGAAACGACGATGCTTCCCAGGTAGGTCGGTAGGTAGGTAGGTAAAGGAGGTTGCTTCTTTCAGATTCCTCCCATTTATGCTGGCTAGTTGTTGTAGCTGTTGCTGTTGGCCAGGAATCTTCACTACCACAGCTGTTTTCTCTATGTTCATCTGAAGTAAGTCCTATCTTTGATGCTTCTTCTGCCAACTTGTTGCTTTTCACTTGCATATCCTCCAGTTTGTGAGAAATCAGACATATATATGTCATCGGTGGAATTCAGATCGTCGAAGATTTTTGTGTGGGTCAATTTTGTGCCTGTTTCCTCGTTTCCCGTCGTCTGTCACATTATCTAGTCTACCGCAATCAGGAAAATCAGTGGAGATAGTAGGCAGCTTTATCTTACTCCCGTTTTCATTTCGAAGTGTTCCGTGAGTTTCCCGTTGTGGATTACTTGGCATTCAGCATTATGGCTATTATCAAAAATAATAATTTTCATCTCTTGTCCGAATTTCTAGATGTTTGTAGCTACTCACAAATCATGAAGTCGTTTATGCAGTCCTGTATCATTAAGCAGGTGGAAGTATACTGGTACAATAATTATTGGGAATAATTATCATCATATCTTATTCAGATAGCGAAGTTCTCTTTAGACTTAGATTGTTGTTATTGTTACACCGCTAAGCTTTCAGTTATTCATACTAAATGATGTTATTCCGCATTAAAATTACCGAATGTTACTGTGAAATAAATCGAAATTTCTCAGTAATCGTGAGATTTTAGTCATTCGACAGTCACTTAACTTTTACAGTCACTGAAGTTTTGCATGCGTATATATACATATATAGTGTTCATGAGCGCGTTTTTCAAATTGGCGCATGGTACAGCCGATGTACTAAGCTCAGCAAGAGCAAGTAAACTGGTATATGCACGATGAAGTGGCCCAATGCGACAGCTTGTCTTTCGCGTTCTGTCTGAACATTTTCTTGCAGAGGCGTTTACGAAGAATTTATGCTTCAATGTCACCTTTGAATTCTAGATTAAGCAGAAGTATCGTCATCTTCGGGACGGATTGGATTTGTCCGGAAGTCTTCTTTGATTTGAGATTCTTGTCTATGAACCTGGGCGGAAAATCGTTTTCCATCAGGGTTTTTCGGAGATTACGCAGTTCTTCTTCAATCACTTCCTCGCTGCATATCTTCCGAATCCTTAAAGAAAGAGCGTATGTAAGATTCCTCTTTCTGCTTCGGGCCACGAAGCTTTGAAAGTTGATGAATTATCCATTCCATTTAGGCTTTTTTGTATATGGACCTTCGCCGCAACCGTCTTTTTAAATGTCTGATTTTACATCTCTTCAATGTACTAGTTCTACTTGGCATTAAACAGGTTCCTCTATTCTTCTTGAAATCATTTCAAACAGCGGTTCATCAATACTTGTTTCCAGTGAAGTCAGCTGTCCGCCTCTTTTCTGTGGCTTAAGTGTTTTCACAAGACTCAAATCAAATTTAATGAGATTCCGTCTCATAAAACAGAAACTTATTTCAGACAAGAAGAACGCTGGGAATATGCTTACAGTTTTTGTGTCTAAGAAAGCATAAAATTAAATTGTAACTGAGTTCCAAGATAATGTTTACCTGTATCGACAGTGACTCCTCTTATGTTTATGACTTAATTCAGCAAATGGATAGCTTGTGCTTCCACTCTCTGGAACAAAATCCCTGACAGTTAAACTGAGTCAGGTAGGGAGATGCAGACTTCCGGGTTGGGGCCCGACCTCGGGACTCTAAGAATCAATGGCTGGAGACAATAGGTGACATGGCTCAAAATCGTTGTCAATGGCTTACGCAGATGTATTCAGTCTCTGTAATCTTTCATATTCCTTTCTACCATTACTCATTCTGTTTCACTCTTATACTTGTCAAAACTCTACTGATTCTCTTCACTCATTTTCTTGTCTACCTTTGTGTGTGATTTGGAACGTGGCAACTCGAACTGCTGCGCTTCGGTGCCAAGTTCTATGTTGAATCCAGACAGACTCTCTAGAACAATTCCATTCTGCTATTTCTTTAATATCAGTCCGTGTACTTTGGTTAGTAAACACCGCGAAACTCACTAGCTTCTTTGTAGTTTTAAGAAATTAAGCAAGTGAATATTTTTTAAATTTTATTTTGATTTACAGCTTGATTCCACACCGTATTTTCAGTACAAGTGTGGAATTTTCAGCATGGATATCGGTAGCCCAAATTCAGGCCAACCATAGATATCGGGTGTGCGCCGGCAGGGGATCGAACCCCGGACCATGTGCATGGTCGGCGAGAGTCCTAACCACTGTGCCACCGACGCGCTTCTGCAAACGGTAATACATATATGCTAAAGAGAAATATGAAGTATCAGAGGTAGTTTTCTGTGTTGAGCTTTAGTTACTGTCCTAGCGTGTATTGACTAACCATTTAGAAATGCAGAACAGCTTCATGCTTTCGTTATGGTTATCTAATATCCTTGCGACGGTGATAGTATTTAGATCTAAATAGCATATTGTCATAATTTCTCACTAGTTAGTTTCTATAGATATTTATCATTTGTGCAGGAAAACGTTCTTCCGCGACATCTCGTTACACAATAAAACTAAGTGCCTTATTTTCTACTATGGTCACACGAATGTCCTCATGTAGAGCAGTCACTAGCTGGTTAGTGAAAACTGAGTCCACTGAATGTTTAGTTTTAGTCGCGGGAATACTTTGGCATTGTGGTTTAGTAATTCTTGACAAAAAGAATTCGCTATCAGGCTTCAGATGAACATAGTTGTTTTAGACCTGGTGACTTGCAATCAATGAGCGTAACATTACATAATTAAAACTTGAAAGGGTGAATTAAATGTGAACTTGTTGATGTGAAGAAATTTTAACTTAATTGAATTTCATTTTATATTTATCACATTTTTAGAAAATATTGAAAATGGGGAGGCAATAAATGACAATCAGCATTTGTGTGAACTGTCAAACCATGTAGTCAATAATACAGTATCTAATAACAGTCAAACGAGTAGTATATGTGAAACGCTTACACCAAGTACTTCCACCTCAGAGGAAGCATGGAAACCATTAAATCAGAAACACAAATTGAGATCTATAGAATCCCTTTGTGAAGTTATGCTTCTTGATGGTATTCCTACACCTTTCACCAATGAGAACAGGGATTGTGTTGCCTGTAAACTAAGAAATCACGTGCAAACTGAAACGGTAATTAGGATGGTTTGTGCAGCGTGCCCAGAATTTCCTCGGCTTTGTTCAGCACAATGTTTTCGATGGTGGCACAATGTTCATTTACCGGCACTCCGTAATAAACCAAGAACAATAATCGAATCCGAACAAACCGGTACAACGATAAAGAAATCAAATAACCAAGTGATGGTTTCAGAATTCCAGGTACTTGACCAATCAAGTGAATTAAAAGCGCCTGAGAAATCAGTCCCTCAACCTTGTACAGCATCCGTACGTCGGCTTGTCGGAAAAAGAAAACGACGTAAAAGATTCCTATATTCTAATGCAAAAAGGAAAGTTATACCAGTCTGGCCTAAAAGTAAATCCCGTCGTCCACCGAAAAAAACGCTATGCTAATTCTGATGATCCAGAATGGAGACCCGACAGGGGATTTATTGGAAAAGTGAATGTAAATAATTAACAATAATTTCTTTATAAGATATACAAATGTGATTCAACTGAGCGTATACACAATATTTTTGTAAACCCTGATGTGAATGGGGGAAAAATACAAAAATACTGTGTATACGCTCAGTTGAATCACATTTGTATATCTTATAAAGAAATTATTGTTAATTATTTACATTCACTTTTCCAATAAATCCCCTGTCGGGTCTCCATTCTGGATCATCAGAATTAGCATAGCGTTTTTTTCGGTGGACGACGGGATTTACTTTTAGGCCAGACTGGTATAACTTTCCTTTTTGCATTAGAATATAGGAATCTTTTACGTCGTTTTCCTTATCCGACAAGCCGACGTACGGATGCTGTACAAGGTTGAGGGACTGATTTCTCAGGCGCTTTTAATTCACTTGATTGGTCAAGTACCTGGAATTCTGAAACCATCACTTGGTTATTTGATTTCTTTGTCGTTGTACCGGTTTGTTCGGATTCGATTATTGTTCTTGGTTTATTACGGAGTGCCGGTAAATGAACATTGTGCCACCATCGAAAACATTGTGCTGAACAAAGCCGAGGAAATTCTGGGCACGCTGCACAAACCATCCTAATTACCGTTTCAGTTTGCACGTGATTTCTTAGTTTACAGGCAACACAATCCGTGTTCTCATTGGTGAAAGGTGTAGGAATACCATCAAGAAGCATAACTTCACAAAGGGATTCTATAGATCTCAATTTGTGTTTCTGATTTAATGGTTTCCATGCTTCCTCTGAGGTGGAAGTACTTGGTGTAAGCGTTTCACATATACTACTCGTTTGACTGTTATTAGATACTGTATTATTGACTACATGGTTTGACAGTTCACACAAATGCTGATTGTCATTTATTGCCTCCCCATTTTCAATATTTTCTAAAAATGTGATAAATATAAAATGAAATTCAATTAAGTTAAAATTTCTTCACATCAACAAGTTCACATTTAATTCACCCTTTCAAGTTTTAATTATGTAATGTTACGCTCATTGATTGCAAGTCACCAGGTCTAAAACAACTATGTTCATCTGAAGCCTGATAGCGAATTCTTTTTGTCAAGAATTACTAAACCACAATGCCAAAGTATTCCCGCGACTAAAACTAAACATTCAGTGGACTCAGTTTTCACTAACCAGCTAGTGACTGCTCTACATGAGGACATTCGTGTGACCATAGTAGAAAATAAGGCAATTAGTTTTATCTACAAGCAATAAAGAAGAAGAAGTGGATGCTGATTCTAAAAATGATCCTTTCACATCGCATCCATTAGTGAAACTTCAAGCAAAACGACGACAATGCCTAAGTAGTATCCATAGTATACACAGTCGACCCACACTGCTACAAATGGTGAGTGTACATCTCTTTTATTTTATGTGATGTTTATAATCTTCTAAAACCGAAAGCCAACAATCATCATTTGATTTCAGTAAGAACGATATATTGTAATTATTCCAAATATGAATATCTTATTACGTAATATAGACATTGTACCAAAGAAATTATTGAAAAGACGCTTCCAACAAAGAATGTTTTCTTTTCGATGAAGTCATCAACTAGGCTGTTCATTCGTGTATTTATAACAAATGGGTGGGAAAGTTCCAGAATAATTTCCGGTCAATGGTCAGATTAATAAAATTACAATTAGGAATTAAAATGCTATAATAAACAGGGGGATGGATAAAACTCAAGCAAAGTAGCATCATGATCACTGAGGAGATCGACATATTGTGCAATTGGAGGTTAGAAATGTAGAAACAACAAAAACAGACAGGATGTTTGGATAAAAACTCCAGTAGGATCATAACTAATGTGACGAATAATTGTTTATGCAGTTAGGGATTAAATATGTAGAAATAATAAAATGACAAAATAGACGGGAAGTTTGGATATGAAAATATGGTAGTATAAATAGGGACTAAGGAAAACTTAAAAATAACATGAAAAGGAAGTTTGGATAAGAAAGGCAATGGGATAGTCACTATTAGAAGAATTACCTGTTTATAATGGCCATGGCAAGGACAAGGGTTAGGCGTATTTCTTTTGGATACATTGCGTGGGTTTGAGCTTTTGGAGGCTAGTGCCTCGGTTATGCACAGATGTCTTAATTTTACTCCCTTTGATAGGTTTGATCGAATCTTGTATATTAATTTGAAGGATTTTTCGAATGGTGCTGAATTGACCAGATTTTCTGTCACTGAACTATATACACGTTTTCGTTCTCCTTTTACTAGCCAGGCTGGATAGTGTTCATGAGCGCGTTTTTCAAATTGGCGCATGGTACAGCCGATGTACTAAGCTCAGCAAGAGCAAGTAAACTGGTATATGCACGATGAAGTGGCCCAATGCGACAGCTTGTCTTTCGCGTTCTGTCTGAACATTTTCTTGCAGAGGCGTTTACGAAGAATTTATGCTTCAATGTCACCTTTGAATTCTAGATTAAGCAGAAGTATCGTCATCTTCGGGACGGATTGGATTTGTCCGGAAGTCTTCTTTGATTTGAGATTCTTGTCTATGAACCTGGGCGGAAAATCGTTTTCCATCAGGGTTTTTCGGAGATTACGCAGTTCTTCTTCAATCACTTCCTCGCTGCATATCTTCCGAATCCTTAAAGAAAGAGCGTATGTAAGATTCCTCTTTCTGCTTCGGGCCACGAAGCTTTGAAAGTTGATGAATTATCCATTCCATTTAGGCTTTTTTGTATATGGACCTTCGCCGCAACCGTCTTTTTAAATGTCTGATTTTACATCTCTTCAATGTACTAGTTCTACTTGGCATTAAACAGGTTCCTCTATTCTTCTTGAAATCATTTCAAACAGCGGTTCATCAATACTTGTTTCCAGTGAAGTCAACTGTCCGCCTCTTTTCTGTGGCTTAAGTGTTTTCACAAGACTCAAATCAAATTTAATGAGATTCCGTCTCATAAAACAGAAACTTATTTCAGACCAGAAGAACGCTGGGAATATGCTTACAGTTTTTGTGTCTAAGAAAGCATAAAATTAAATTGTAACTGAGTTCCAAGATAATGTTTACCTGTATCGACAGTGACTCCTCTTATGTTTATGACTTAATTCAGCAAATGGATAGCTTGTGCTTCCACTCTCTGGAACAAAATCCCTGACAGTTAAACTGAGTCAGGTAGGGAGATGCAGACTTCCGGGTTGGGGCCCGACCTCGGGACTCTAAGAATCAATGGCTGGAGACAATAGGTGACATGGCTCAAAATCGTTGTCAATGGCTTACGCAGATGTATTCAGTCTCTGTAATCTTTCATATTCCTTTCTACCATTACTCATTCTGTTTCACTCTTATACTTGTCAAAACTCTACTGATTCTCTTCACTCATTTTCTTGTCTACCTTTGTGTGTGATTTGGAACGTGGCAACTCGAACTGCTGCGCTTCGGTGCCAAGTTCTATGTTGAATCCAGACAGACTCTCTAGAACAATTCCATTCTGCTATTTCTTTAATATCAGTCCGTGTACTTTGGTTAGTAAACACCGCGAAACTCACTAGCTTCTTTGTAGTTTTAAGAAATTAAGCAAGTGAATATTTTTTAAATTTTATTTTGATTTACAGCTTGATTCCACACCGTATTTTCAGTACAAGTGTGGAATTTTCAGCATGGATATCGGTAGCCCAAATTCAGGCCAACCATAGATATCGGGTGTGCGCCGGCAGGGGATCGAACCCCGGACCATGTGCATGGTCGGCGAGAGTCCTAACCACTGTGCCACCGACGCGCTTCTGCAAACGGTAATACATATATGCTAAAGAGAAATATGAAGTATCAGAGGTAGTTTTCTGTGTTGAGCTTTAGTTACTGTCCTAGCGTGTATTGACTAACCATTTAGAAATGCAGAACAGCTTCATGCTTTCGTTATGGTTATCTAATATCCTTGCGACGGTGATAGTATTTAGATCTAAATAGCATATTGTCATAATTTCTCACTAGTTAGTTTCTATAGATATTTATCATTTGTGCAGGAAAACGTTCTTCCGCGACATCTCGTTACACAATAAAACTAAGTGCCTTATTTTCTACTATGGTCACACGAATGTCCTCATGTAGAGCAGTCACTAGCTGGTTAGTGAAAACTGAGTCCACTGAATGTTTAGTTTTAGTCGCGGGAATACTTTGGCATTGTGGTTTAGTAATTCTTGACAAAAAGAATTCGCTATCAGGCTTCAGATGAACATAGTTGTTTTAGACCTGGTGACTTGCAATCAATGAGCGTAACATTACATAATTAAAACTTGAAAGGGTGAATTAAATGTGAACTTGTTGATGTGAAGAAATTTTAACTTAATTGAATTTCATTTTATATTTATCACATTTTTAGAAAATATTGAAAATGGGGAGGCAATAAATGACAATCAGCATTTGTGTGAACTGTCAAACCATGTAGTCAATAATACAGTATCTAATAACAGTCAAACGAGTAGTATATGTGAAACGCTTACACCAAGTACTTCCACCTCAGAGGAAGCATGGAAACCATTAAATCAGAAACACAAATTGAGATCTATAGAATCCCTTTGTGAAGTTATGCTTCTTGATGGTATTCCTACACCTTTCACCAATGAGAACACGGATTGTGTTGCCTGTAAACTAAGAAATCACGTGCAAACTGAAACGGTAATTAGGATGGTTTGTGCAGCGTGCCCAGAATTTCCTCGGCTTTGTTCAGCACAATGTTTTCGATGGTGGCACAATGTTCATTTACCGGCACTCCGTAATAAACCAAGAACAATAATCGAATCCGAACAAACCGGTACAACGATAAAGAAATCAAATAACCAAGTGATGGTTTCAGAATTCCAGGTACTTGACCAATCAAGTGAATTAAAAGCGCCTGAGAAATCAGTCCCTCAACCTTGTACAGCATCCGTACGTCGGCTTGTCGGAAAAAGAAAACGACGTAAAAGATTCCTATATTCTAATGCAAAAAGGAAAGTTATACCAGTCTGGCCTAAAAGTAAATCCCGTCGTCCACCGAAAAAAACGCTATGCTAATTCTGATGATCCAGAATGGAGACCCGACAGGGGATTTATTGGAAAAGTGAATGTAAATAATTAACAATAATTTCTTTATAAGATATACAAATGTGATTCAACTGAGCGTATACACAATATTTTTGTAAACCCTGATGTGAATGGGGGAAAAATACAAAAATACTGTGTATACGCTCAGTTGAATCACATTTGTATATCTTATAAAGAAATTATTGTTAATTATTTACATTCACTTTTCCAATAAATCCCCTGTCGGGTCTCCATTCTGGATCATCAGAATTAGCATAGCGTTTTTTTCGGTGGACGACGGGATTTACTTTTAGGCCAGACTGGTATAACTTTCCTTTTTGCATTAGAATATAGGAATCTTTTACGTCGTTTTCTTTTTCCGACAAGCCGACGTACGGATGCTGTACAAGGTTGAGGGACTGATTTCTCAGGCGCTTTTAATTCACTTGATTGGTCAAGTACCTGGAATTCTGAAACCATCACTTGGTTATTTGATTTCTTTGTCGTTGTACCGGTTTGTTCGGATTCGATTATTGTTCTTGGTTTATTACGGAGTGCCGGTAAATGAACATTGTGCCACCATCGAAAACATTGTGCTGAACAAAGCCGAGGAAATTCTGGGCACGCTGCACAAACCATCCTAATTACCGTTTCAGTTTGCACGTGATTTCTTAGTTTACAGGCAACACAATCCGTGTTCTCATTGGTGAAAGGTGTAGGAATACCATCAAGAAGCATAACTTCACAAAGGGATTCTATAGATCTCAATTTGTGTTTCTGATTTAATGGTTTCCATGCTTCCTCTGAGGTGGAAGTACTTGGTGTAAGCGTTTCACATATACTACTCGTTTGACTGTTATTAGATACTGTATTATTGACTACATGGTTTGACAGTTCACACAAATGCTGATTGTCATTTATTGCCTCCCCATTTTCAATATTTTCTAAAAATGTGATAAATATAAAATGAAATTCAATTAAGTTAAAATTTCTTCACATCAACAAGTTCACATTTAATTCACCCTTTCAAGTTTTAATTATGTAATGTTACGCTCATTGATTGCAAGTCACCAGGTCTAAAACAACTATGTTCATCTGAAGCCTGATAGCGAATTCTTTTTGTCAAGAATTACTAAACCACAATGCCAAAGTATTCCCGCGACTAAAACTAAACATTCAGTGGACTCAGTTTTCACTAACCAGCTAGTGACTGCTCTACATGAGGACATTCGTGTGACCATAGTAGAAAATAAGGCAATTAGTTTTATCTACAAGCAATAAAGAAGAAGAAGTGGATGCTGATTCTAAAAATGATCCTTTCACATCGCATCCATTAGTGAAACTTCAAGCAAAACGACGACAATGCCTAAGTAGTATCCATAGTATACACAGTCGACCCACACTGCTACAAATGGTGAGTGTACATCTCTTTTATTTTATGTGATGTTTATAATCTTCTAAAACCGAAAGCCAACAATCATCATTTGATTTCAGTAAGAACGATATATTGTAATTATTCCAAATATGAATATCTTATTACGTAATATAGACATTGTACCAAAGAAATTATTGAAAAGACGCTTCCAACAAAGAATGTTTTCTTTTCGATGAAGTCATCAACTAGGCTGTTCATTCGTGTATTTATAACAAATGGGTGGGAAAGTTCCAGAATAATTTCCGGTCAATGGTCAGATTAATAAAATTACAATTAGGAATTAAAATGCTATAATAAACAGGGGGATGGATAAAACTCAAGCAAAGTAGCATCATGATCACTGAGGAGATCGACATATTGTGCAATTGGAGGTTAGAAATGTAGAAACAACAAAAACAGACAGGATGTTTGGATAAAAACTCCAGTAGGATCATAACTAATGTGACGAATAATTGTTTATGCAGTTAGGGATTAAATATGTAGAAATAATAAAATGACAAAATAGACGGGAAGTTTGGATATGAAAATATGGTAGTATAAATAGGGACTAAGGAAAACTTAAAAATAACATGAAAAGGAAGTTTGGATAAGAAAGGCAATGGGATAGTCACTATTAGAAGAATTACCTGTTTATAATGGCCATGGCAAGGACAAGGGTTAGGCGTATTTCTTTTGGATACATTGCGTGGGTTTGAGCTTTTGGAGGCTAGTGCCTCGGTTATGCACAGATGTCTTAATTTTACTCCCTTTGATAGGTTTGATCGAATCTTGTATATTAATTTGAAGGATTTTTCGAATGGTGCTGAATTGACCAGATTTTCTGTCACTGAACTATATACACGTTTTCGTTCTCCTTTTACTAGCCAGGCTGGATAGTGTTCATGAGCGCGTTTTTCAAATTGGCGCATGGTACAGCCGATGTACTAAGCTCAGCAAGAGCAAGTAAACTGGTATATGCACGATGAAGTGGCCCAATGCGACAGCTTGTCTTTCGCGTTCTGTCTGAACATTTTCTTGCAGAGGCGTTTACGAAGAATTTATGCTTCAATGTCACCTTTGAATTCTAGATTAAGCAGAAGTATCGTCATCTTCGGAACGGATTGGATTTGTCCGGAAGTCTTCTTTGATTTGAGATTCTTGTCTATGAACCTGGGCGGAAAATCGTTTTCCATCAGGGTTTTTCGGAGATTACGCAGTTCTTCTTCAATCACTTCCTCGCTGCATATCTTCCGAATCCTTAAAGAAAGAGCGTATGTAAGATTCCTCTTTCTGCTTCGGGCCACGAAGCTTTGAAAGTTGATGAATTATCCATTCCATTTAGGCTTTTTTGTATATGGACCTTCGCCGCAACCGTCTTTTTAAATGTCTGATTTTACATCTCTTCAATGTACTAGTTCTACTTGGCATTAAACAGGTTCCTCTATTCTTCTTGAAATCATTTCAAACAGCGGTTCATCAATACTTGTTTCCAGTGAAGTCAACTGTCCGCCTCTTTTCTGTGGCTTAAGTGTTTTCACAAGACTCAAATCAAATTTAATGAGATTCCGTCTCATAAAACAGAAACTTATTTCAGACCAGAAGAACGCTGGGAATATGCTTACAGTTTTTGTGTCTAAGAAAGCATAAAATTAAATTGTAACTGAGTTCCAAGATAATGTTTACCTGTATCGACAGTGACTCCTCTTATGTTTATGACTTAATTCAGCAAATGGATAGCTTGTGCTTCCACTCTCTGGAACAAAATCCCTGACAGTTAAACTGAGTCAGGTAGGGAGATGCAGACTTCCGGGTTGGGGCCCGACCTCGGGACTCTAAGAATCAATGGCTGGAGACAATAGGTGACATGGCTCAAAATCGTTGTCAATGGCTTACGCAGATGTATTCAGTCTCTGTAATCTTTCATATTCCTTTCTACCATTACTCATTCTGTTTCACTCTTATACTTGTCAAAACTCTACTGATTCTCTTCACTCATTTTCTTGTCTACCTTTGTGTGTGATTTGGAACGTGGCAACTCGAACTGCTGCGCTTCGGTGCCAAGTTCTATGTTGAATCCAGACAGACTCTCTAGAACAATTCCATTCTGCTATTTCTTTAATATCAGTCCGTGTACTTTGGTTAGTAAACACCGCGAAACTCACTAGCTTCTTTGTAGTTTTAAGAAATTAAGCAAGTGAATATTTTTTAAATTTTATTTTGATTTACAGCTTGATTCCACACCGTATTTTCAGTACAAGTGTGGAATTTTCAGCATGGATATCGGTAGCCCAAATTCAGGCCAACCATAGATATCGGGTGTGCGCCGGCAGGGGATCGAACCCCGGACCATGTGCATGGTCGGCGAGAGTCCTAACCACTGTGCCACCGACGCGCTTCTGCAAACGGTAATACATATATGCTAAAGAGAAATATGAAGTATCAGAGGTAGTTTTCTGTGTTGAGCTTTAGTTACTGTCCTAGCGTGTATTGACTAACCATTTAGAAATGCAGAACAGCTTCATGCTTTCGTTATGGTTATCTAATATCCTTGCGACGGTGATAGTATTTAGATCTAAATAGCATATTGTCATAATTTCTCACTAGTTAGTTTCTATAGATATTTATCATTTGTGCAGGAAAACGTTCTTCCGCGACATCTCGTTACACAATAAAACTAAGTGCCTTATTTTCTACTATGGTCACACGAATGTCCTCATGTAGAGCAGTCACTAGCTGGTTAGTGAAAACTGAGTCCACTGAATGTTTAGTTTTAGTCGCGGGAATACTTTGGCATTGTGGTTTAGTAATTCTTGACAAAAAGAATTCGCTATCAGGCTTCAGATGAACATAGTTGTTTTAGACCTGGTGACTTGCAATCAATGAGCGTAACATTACATAATTAAAACTTGAAAGGGTGAATTAAATGTGAACTTGTTGATGTGAAGAAATTTTAACTTAATTGAATTTCATTTTATATTTATCACATTTTTAGAAAATATTGAAAATGGGGAGGCAATAAATGACAATCAGCATTTGTGTGAACTGTCAAACCATGTAGTCAATAATACAGTATCTAATAACAGTCAAACGAGTAGTATATGTGAAACGCTTACACCAAGTACTTCCACCTCAGAGGAAGCATGGAAACCATTAAATCAGAAACACAAATTGAGATCTATAGAATCCCTTTGTGAAGTTATGCTTCTTGATGGTATTCCTACACCTTTCACCAATGAGAACACGGATTGTGTTGCCTGTAAACTAAGAAATCACGTGCAAACTGAAACGGTAATTAGGATGGTTTGTGCAGCGTGCCCAGAATTTCCTCGGCTTTGTTCAGCACAATGTTTTCGATGGTGGCACAATGTTCATTTACCGGCACTCCGTAATAAACCAAGAACAATAATCGAATCCGAACAAACCGGTACAACGATAAAGAAATCAAATAACCAAGTGATGGTTTCAGAATTCCAGGTACTTGACCAATCAAGTGAATTAAAAGCGCCTGAGAAATCAGTCCCTCAACCTTGTACAGCATCCGTACGTCGGCTTGTCGGAAAAAGAAAACGACGTAAAAGATTCCTATATTCTAATGCAAAAAGGAAAGTTATACCAGTCTGGCCTAAAAGTAAATCCCGTCGTCCACCGAAAAAAACGCTATGCTAATTCTGATGATCCAGAATGGAGACCCGACAGGGGATTTATTGGAAAAGTGAATGTAAATAATTAACAATAATTTCTTTATAAGATATACAAATGTGATTCAACTGAGCGTATACACAATATTTTTGTAATTTCCCCCATTCACATCAGGGTTTACAAAAATATTGTGTATACGCTCAGTTGAATCACATTTGTATATCTTATAAAGAAATTATTGTTAATTATTTACATTCACTTTTCCAATAAATCCCCTGTCGGGTCTCCATTCTGGATCATCAGAATTAGCATAGCGTTTTTTTCGGTGGACGACGGGATTTACTTTTAGGCCAGACTGGTATAACTTTCCTTTTTGCATTAGAATATAGGAATCTTTTACGTCGTTTTCTTTTTCCGACAAGCCGACGTACGGATGCTGTACAAGGTTGAGGGACTGATTTCTCAGGCGCTTTTAATTCACTTGATTGGTCAAGTACCTGGAATTCTGAAACCATCACTTGGTTATTTGATTTCTTTGTCGTTGTACCGGTTTGTTCGGATTCGATTATTGTTCTTGGTTTATTACGGAGTGCCGGTAAATGAACATTGTGCCACCATCGAAAACATTGTGCTGAACAAAGCCGAGGAAATTCTGGGCACGCTGCACAAACCATCCTAATTACCGTTTCAGTTTGCACGTGATTTCTTAGTTTACAGGCAACACAATCCGTGTTCTCATTGGTGAAAGGTGTAGGAATACCATCAAGAAGCATAACTTCACAAAGGGATTCTATAGATCTCAATTTGTGTTTCTGATTTAATGGTTTCCATGCTTCCTCTGAGGTGGAAGTACTTGGTGTAAGCGTTTCACATATACTACTCGTTTGACTGTTATTAGATACTGTATTATTGAA